GCAAGAAGTCAGTTCTGGCTTTCCTCCAACTCCTTGGAGCATGCAGTGCTTCTGACGAGACGAGGAGGCATCACCTCCGTGTCTGCAGAAAGCTCTAATTTTCTCCATTATAGGATGCTTACCTTAGAACTTCCCAAAGTGCCTTTGTGGAAAAGATTGGAGCCCTGGTCTAATGGAAGCCATGGGAGTTACTGTTATGTAATAGCATTCCCTTCCATCTCACCCAACAGGTGAAAAGATAATCTGACAGAAGCTGCCTTCTTACCACAGCCTGTTCAGAGCACAGGTAAGAGAGATTCTTCAACCCACCTCACAGGGTGTCTGTTGTGGGGAGGGGAAGGGAAAAGAGTTTGTAAGCCGCTCTGAGACTCCGAGTGATGGATGGGGTATAAATCCAATCTCTTCTTCTTGACGGGAACACTGATGTTTTCACTTGCCATCTCTCAAACCAGTGGAATGCATGTTAACCAAGAGCTGTGGCTTAGTAAATAGCCACTTGATCTCCAACAACATGCAAGAACATGGTGGAGGGACTTTGACTCTTCAGACTTGGTTATCTGGGGATGTCACTCGACTCTCCTATACTGCTGTAGTCTGGAAGGAATTTATTCCGTTGTAGACCTTTTTTGACCTATCTGCATGTGCTTGTGGAAGTTATCATAGGTTATCTCTTGAGGAAACTGCAGAATGGCGCTGTCTTATAGAAGGTAGCATACCTCTCAGTGATTTTTCCCCTTGGAAATCATGGGGGCTTGAAACTTGGCTTTGTAAGACTGATATCAGCAAATGTGCAAGACAAAACTGGACCTTACTTGATGTCCTTAAGAAGCCTGAGTGGTTTCATTAGAGATTACTGCATGTCTTTCTGCAAAAGTTTGAATGTTGTTTATGTATTTTGAAAATCAGGTCTCATATGAAACCATTCTACAGCTGAAGCAAATGGAATACAGGTGTCCTTTTGCAGCAGAGAAGGTTCCCTGCAAGCTGTTTTGCAAGGTACAGTTTAGATCGGCTGTTTTGTTTGGGGATGGTTTTTTTGTTTTTGTGGGATTTGCTACTTTCTAAGATGAAGAGATCTGGAATACGAAGGTGGGCAATTTCTGACTCCTCCTGATCCCTTTCCCATCAGATCTGAATACCGGTCTTATGGTCAAAAAGGAGGGAAACTAAAATGCAAGCTGGTCTTGCCCTCTCTGTGGGGACAATCCCACATAGAATGAGGCTGGCTTGAAACAGCTTTCCTGGACCTTGATGGATCAGCATTACTGATAACGGTCTCCTTTATGGTTTCAGGAGACCTATCACTGGCACCAGTAAGATGTGGAGGGGAAATGGATGTTAATGTGCCAGCTCATGGTATACCTCCTGTTTGCGTGGATGTTCTTTGCTCTACTATTTCCCAAACTGCAGTGAAGTGCAGCAGATTCTGAACAGCGCTACAGCTGAGCCACATAGGTAAGAGCCAGTATGTTGCAGCGGTTAAAGTGTCAGGCTAGGACTATGGAAATGCGGGTTTGAAGTCCTGCCATAGAAGCTCCCTGGGTGACCTTTGGCCACTAACATCCCCAGTCTAACTCAGAGTGGCTGTGCAGATAAAAGATCCGGGTATGTCATTGTGAAAACCTTGGGGAAGAGTGAAATGAAAACGTCAATGGCGAAGCAGCAGTAAGAATCCTGAGTTTGGTAAGAATAGGATGGGAGGTGTATCTCCATAATCTGTGTAATCCGCAGGGGTCATCTGGGGTCGGAACAGTGATCCGGCAGCCCAGGAGCCAGCACAAGTGGTGGTGAGCCCCGCCACTCTCTCTAGAGTCGCGCTCCCGTGCCCCTCCCTCGCTGAAAGCTCTTTGCCACCACGCTCTTGTGGCCCGCCTGCTCTAGAATGCCACAAAGCGCAGTCAGGTGTTCCCTAAAGCAGGGGGAGCGCCAGGGGTGCTGAGGGAGTGGGCGGGACGCCCTCGGGCTCAGGGGCAGGCTCGCCTCGAACTCTTAAAAAAACTTCCATTCCCCTTCCCCTCAACCCCCCCCCCCCCCAAATCACTGGCCATTCACTAGAAAACCTTGTGTACCTGTGATTGAGCTTTGTGGACAACTGTAAATATAATAAACATCAGATGTCACAGCAGCAGCAAAAAAATTAAATAAATAAACTTCCAAATGGTGCTTTCCAGTTTCACTGCCCATTAAAGGATGGCTATGCAGAGTCTGGAAGGTTTCAGAAATGTCAGTCTGTGATATTTAAAAAGGAAACATCGACAGATCCAGTACTGGCTCTCCCACATCACACGTGGGTTGGCCTTTGAAACATGCTTTTGTCATTGGAATGTCACTGCTAAATCAATCCTGGAATCCAAAGAAACCAGAAAATAGCCTTTGTCAAAAATATTTTTTGAAAATCCACTGGGAATTTGAGCATGCTCCATTGAAATGAATGGGAGCTGCAGAGTAGTAGAATGTGCACAGGGGGAGCTTCTGGTGGCAGTTCCATTCTGCAGCTGTTGTGGCTGCCACCCCTCAGACCATGCTTTATATCCCAGGTTCATGGGCACCATCGTGCATTTTAAAAGCCAGTGAAAATGCAGCTACTTACATTTGGGCGCTTTCCCCCCTTCATGCCACTTCTTATTTTTCCCATTGCCTGTTTGTGATAGTTCTGTGAAAAATTTGGGTTGCCAGCTACCCAGGAGGACATAATGTCCTCTTCCTTTAATAAAGGCTTATTATGTCAACATGGGCAGGTGAAGCTTTTCATTGCATGGAGGTGAACAATATCACCTAGTAAATAACACCCCCATTGAGCCTCTGTTAAGGGGACAAGACGTTTTCTTTTCTCCAGGTCGTTGGCAACTCTTGAGTAAATTATTTTTATTCATGGCCTGTTCTCTAACCACACAATTACGCTGAACATATAATTAGAGTGAACCATAGGGAACTAAATATCCTATTCTGTTTGAGTTTTTAAAAATAAGCTATTTGGCATTTGTGTTTTTCATTCTTCCTAAAATGTATTTATGCTTGAAAATTGGTGGGGGCCAGGGGGGGCAGAAGGTAGCCTCACCTAGTGTGCAAAAAAACCTGGCACCGGCCCTGCAACCATTTAGGGGGTTAGTTATGGCCTTTTGTGGCTGTAGAAAGAGGTCTGGTAAGCTAAAGGGCTTAATTGCTTTAAGAGGTTGTGATTTAATGGGGGTGGGGAGAACAGTACAACTTTAAGCACCCTTTGTCAGTTGTCATGTTGGGCTCAGAAATGCTTGATTTGGGCATATTTTATGGAGACGTTGCAATTAGATAATTCAGATATATTGTACCAGTGAGATATGTGTTTAAGTCTGTTTAAATGATCTTAAATGCATCTCTTGCTTGTTTACAGTTGACCTGCATACATGTAGAGCTGCTGCAGCATTTGAATGTTAAAAGCTTCTAAATCTAACACTAATCCTACTCTATTCAAACTAGTTGGAGTTCTGCCACTTCCAGTGATGTCAGGGGTGTGTGGCATATGCAAATGAGTTATGCTAATGAGCTCCTGCAGCTCTTTTTCTACTAAATGACCCCTGGTAATCAGCCTTGAGTCCCAGTAGGAAAGGAGGGCTATAAATAACTTAAAATAAAATGTCTCCAGCATTCGTATGGGATATCCTAACCTTTGGAGGAACTAAATGCTAAGTGTTCTGGCTGTACTCCTTAGGTATCCCACCTTTCCTTTCCTTGCAGCTCTCCCCCACCCCATGCATAGTTCTCCCTATGTCTTCTTCACAACTGTGCTGTGAGATAGGTTAGACTGAGAGACAGTAAGTGACCAAAGTGAGCTTCATGACAGTTGTGGGGATTTCAGCCCAGGTCCACATCCAGCACACTAACAACTCCACCACATTGGCTCCTAATAGATCTTGCTATGGCCCCCTGTCCTAGTTGACATTGGATGTATCCACACCTTAGGCCTGCACAGGCTTTGGGCTATATGCAATTGGCTGCTTGCACAACTCCTGAGTAGATAAGGGAATCCCTGAAAAACAGCTGAGGGTAGGAAATACCATTGATCTACTGAGCAAAGTTTAAGAACATAAGAGAAGCCCTGTTGGATCAGGCCAATGGCCCATCCGGTCCAACACTGTGACACAGTGACCAAAACCCTGGTGTCATCAGGAGGCCCACCAGTGGGGCCAGAACTCCAGAAGCCCTCTCACTGTTGCCTCCCAAGCACCAAGAATACTGCCCTAGACATAGTGTTCCAACTATACCTTGTGGCTAATAGCCACTAATGGACCTCTGCTCCATATGTTTATCCAATCCCTTCTTGAAGCTGTCTGTGCCTGTAGCCGCCACCACTTCTTGCAGCAGTGAATTCCATGCGTTGATTACTCTTTGGGTGAAGAAGTACTTTTTATGTGTTCTAAGCTTACTGCTCATTAATTTCATTGAGTATGACAGGCTCGAGAGTGGGATGACAGCCCAGGGGGGTAGGGGATGTGTCCTGGGACTGAAATGACAGGTCATTCCACTCCCAGAACTCTCCTGCTACCCCCAGGAGCTGTCATTCAACTCTGGGACCAGTCCTTCCAGTCCCAGAACTCTCCTGCTACCCCCAGGGGCTGTCATTCCACTCTGGGGACTCTCATTCCAGTCCCAGAGCAGTGTATTTGTGACCAGAGACCTTAATGGAAGATCCATTCCGCGTTTTCTTTGCAACTCTTCTTGAGCGGTAATATATTTCAATGGAGCCGGTGCAAGTCAATTGGCATTCCTGGCTCCCATTAGTCTTGCTACTAGGGAAAAGGGTCACATGAGACACTGTTGAAACATCTTCTAGGTTCTTTGCCTTGAAAAAAAGAAAATCAGCAGTGTTCTCTTGAAGGAACATGTATGGTGTAGTGTGGAAGCTAGAACCAAACAAATATGGCTTTTGGCCTTAGAAAGCAACAACATTGTACCTTCTTACCTGCTGGGGCTTAAAATCTGCTGTGAGAAAGTGAATTCTGATTTGCAAAATGGCAAGTAAGAATCACACACACACACAAACACACTGCAGTTCCAGTCCATATTGGTGCCCCTCATCACTGCGTTTAGGGCCCAGTTGCACACTTGGGTTCCCATTGGAGAGAATGACATGCGCTTTGGCCACTTGTGAATAAAGATCTGGACTTGGATCCTAAAACCTTCCTTTCCTTTGCGCCCTTCTTTGCATTGGTGGTGGAAACACTTCTCTGCTGTGCTACACAGGCAGAGCATGTTCTGCTGCAGAGAACTACTTCCATCACAGAAACAAAACTTAGGATCAGTGCTTTGGCTTTCTGGGGATTGGTTGCTTAAGCAGTGAACCGATTGCTTAAACGGGGACCAGATTATCACGCTGTAGTGTTTCCTGCCTGGTCTTCGTGTTTACAGCAGTCCATGCTTTTCCGAATTCCCAGATTCCATTTTCTTGTCACTATTTTGCTATTCATCTTGCCGTTCTTGCTTGTTACCACAGGCTGTTTCATAAACACAAATGTATAAAAGATTACAGTAGTGTTTCCCAAGCTTAAAACAGTTAAGAGCTAATGTGGTACAGTAAAGTAACAGACTACAGTCTGGGAAGAATCAGGTTCAAATCCCTGTTGTGCCATGACTTCGATCCAGTTAACACTCAGCCTCACCTACTTCTTAGGGTTGTCGGGAGGATGAAGGGAGGGAGGGGCAGAAGGAGGTTGTGGACTGTTTTGGGATCCTCATTGGGCAGAAAGATTCATTGAATGGTTGTTTGGTGACAAGCTTCTGTTCTCCTTTCTAGCAAAGAGCCCCGTTTCCCTGAATTGGACTGTATGTCTCTGCTGGCCACTTCAGCAAAGTAAGTCAAAGCTGCCAGCAATATCTTGTTAGCAATCTGCATTAACCTGTATTAAGCAGCATGTCAACAGCTGCTCTATCTGTGTTGAAAACACCTGGTTGGTGTTCAAACGGAATATCTCCTATGCCTGGTCTATGATGACTCATGTTTCTTATGGTGACTGCTGGATGAATCCTGCGGATATGGGGCTGAGACAAGGCAGTGGATGAGGGAGGTTCTCAAAGGGGTAAAGTCTTTTGGCAAGTTTGGTCCCTAATAGTTGCTGTGTGTTGAACAATGGCACCCATCGCTCTGTATGAAGGGTGACTGCTTGGGAGGGATGAACATGCTCAGATTATTTTATAGGGTTTAATTTTGCATTGCAGTTTTCCAGGGAACAGGAGAAGAATAATAGAACAGAGCAGTTATTTTTTTCCCCTTGGCTAACAGTGTTTACTGGATGTGTTAACATGAATTAAACTAAAGGCAGCAGAGTCCTTCCCCTGAAGTTGCCTCTTGGTGCTGGTATTCAAAGATTAACTGCCTCTGGACTGGAAGTTCTCTTTAACCATCTTTGTGAGTTCTCCGTGAATCTGATTTGCTTTTAAGCCATCCAGGATAGTAGCCTGCATCCTCTGGCTGTAAATTTGCACTGCAAGCCTTCTCGTCTTTCAAAATTGATCACAGTAAAGTATTAATGATTTTCACCTCCGTACATATTGCAGAATAAGAATATACTCTTAACATTTGTATTTTGCTTGTGTACTCAGTTGTATATTGTGTATAATGGCAAACTTGTCAAATTAATACATGCTTGTTTTACCCTAGGATTTCAGAGGCTCCTCAGGAGTTGAGGCTGTCTACCAAGAAGCTTCCGGAATGCTATGTACATGTTTTGCAACTGATTTGATGACTATGTGGAATTAAAGGACTTTCACCGTTTTCCTGTCTGCAGTGTTTCTCTTGCTTTCTTCCACAAGACTTTTGAGTATACATTAAAAACCTGTGCTCATCAATGTTCCCTCTAAGCTGTGGAGTCCTGTGAGCAAAAATTCTACTATGCGAGCTACTGGCATTAAAGTTGTGAGCGAGTGATTTGGCTGCTGCATAAATTAGTTTGCTCTGGAGCCCTCCTTCCTGAGCTAAGACAAAAACGTGTGAGCTGGAGGCTAAAAAACTGTGAGCTAGTTCACACTCAGCTAAGAGGGAACATTGGTGCTCATATAGGATCTGTGAATTGGATCCTTGGGTGCCAGCTGTCTGGCAAGGTGACTGGTTTTTGTTCCTACAATCCTTATGGGACCCTTTCTGGGGCTGAGTGCTCTTAATTTTCCTGTTTTAAGAGTAATTTTATCCACCTTATGAAACAAACAATATTCACAGGGAAAGCTTGGAATAAGGGGAATGGGTGTCTGATATCTTATTCCATTCTGTTAAATTATTAAAATGCATCGCTGACGGTGAAAATCTCACTCTTGCTGGCAACAAGATTGGGTGCTGAAGTGAAACTGAGGGGTTGGGCCTACTTTCTTCCTGAAAGCAAAGCAGCATACTGGCTTTCCTCCGCCTAACTGGAGCAAGAGGTGTTTCAGAAGTGATCAGGAGACATCACCTTCATATCTGGAAGTTTACATGTGTCACAACTGCTTCCATGATGGGAGGATGCTTGGCTTCCTAATGTTTTGAGACTGGTGCCCCAGCCTTCCAGACGGCCATATTTTTTGGGGGGGGGGGGGTTGGCTGTGCTGTTGCGTTAGCCAATGTGGGTTAGGGTGCCTGTTCTCTGTTCTTAAAAGTTCCCCATGGGTTCAGATTCCCAGTCAGCTGTGAGGCTTGCTGGGTGACTTGGGGCCAGTAACACTTTCTTCCTCAATTTAACCTGCCTCATGGGTTTGTGACGGTAAAACGGAAGGAGGGACAACAATGTGTGTTTTCCTGAGTGGAAGAGGAAAAAGGCTTCCTTGCTGTGTGAACTGAGTCCTGTTTAAACATGGGATGCTAAACTTTAATGGTCTGTGTCTTATGTCTCAGTGGCAAACCAGGTGGTTGTAGGCTGTTCACAAGCACTGTTCCCTCTAAGCTGAGTTAGTGTGAGCTAGCTCAGAGTTGTTTAGTCTCCGGCTCACATATTTTTATCGTAGCTCAGGAAAGATGGCTCCAAAACAAACTAATTTATGCAGCAGCCAAATCATTCTCTCACAGCTTTAAAGCCAGTAGCTCACAAAGTAGAATTTTTGCTCACAAGACTCCACAGCTTAGAGGGAGCATTGTTCACAGTCTAGTAATATTTATTTATTCAACTTATATCCCACTCCTTACCCTACTTTACAAGCAGGGCTCAGGGTGGAATCCAACAGTTATATATACAATAAAGTCAACCTTTTAGTCTTAAAGCCAAATGTTACAATTAAAAACCTAACAGTCAATCTACCATATCAGATAGTGTCCCAACAATCACAAGTGGCCCCCCTCCCTCAACTATCCAATGACTGCACATGGGAAAACTCTTGAAGCAGCCAATGAGTAGGTTATGGTTTCTCACCCATGACTAAACAACCAATAAAAAGGTAAAGGTTCCCTTGCTCGAAAGCCAGTCGAATTGGACTTGGGTTGCGGTGCTCATTTCTGTTTCAAAGCCGAAGAGCCAGCGCTGTCTGAAGACGTTTCTGTGGTCATGTGGCCGGCATGACTAGACACCAAGACGCACGGAACGCTGTTACCTTCCCACAAAAGTGGAACCTATTTATCTACTTGCAATTTCTTGCTTTTGAACTGCTAGGTTGGCAGGAGCTGGAACTAGAGACGGGAGCTCACTCTGTCATGCGGCACACTCGAACTGCTGAACTACTGACATTCCACAGCCTGCAGTTCAGCGTCTTAACCACTTGAGCCACCGCAGCTCCTTAAACAACCAGTACAGTGGGTGAAAAGCTTTTTTTCTGCCTTCTGTGCTTGAAGCTTCTATCAGATTACTTGCACGCTTGAACTGGCTGCTTCAGAAAAGCCATATTGATGCTGGCTAGCTTCCTCACCTTCATGTTTGCTTCTGTTAATCTGCTCTAAAAAAATACACAACCAGCAAAGATTGAGTAGTATGGCCGTTAATTCTATATACATCTGCTAAGCAATAATTGTGTTTTCTAAGAAGCTCAGATGAGTCTACACAAGTCTGCCCTCTTGTTTTCTTCTTAACATCCCTGTGTGATTGGTTAGACAGAAGCATCTGATTGGCCCCCAAGGCCCAGTATGTTTTGAAGTAAATGGTGATTTGATTACAAAGGGTAGCTGTGAGTTTGTCCTAGCAAGAAGGGGGGGGGGGGGGGTGAAGTGGCATCTTAAAGATGCAACATTTATTCCAATAAGAGCTTTTTGAGAGTAACAGCCCACTTTGTTAGGTGATGGGAAATTGTAGCGGGACATCTTAGAGTGGGCTGTTACTTAATAAAAGCTCATGGTAATGCTTTGTTTTTAAGGAACCCCTGGATTATTTTTGCGGTAATTTGGATCCTCCTGGTTTTAGGCACCGGTAGCCACACTGGTTCTATTAACATCCACAGTACAAAAAGTTTTGTGTATATAGTCACCACAATCCAATTAGTTTTTGAGTGCATTGCATCTTCCTTGAACGTCACACTCCCTTTGCTTATAATCTGAACAACCAAAGGAAACACAACCCATTAAGTCAATTTCCTCTGTTCCTCGTGTATTTAATATATTTATAAACCACTTTTCTTCCAATCACAAAACTTGATATAAAGGTGCCTTTTCTCCAGTTCTTCACTGTAAACCATGTTCTTCCTTCAAGCTTGGGCTGAAAAGTTATCACTGAATAGCTCAGACATACTGACTCAGATTTGGTGGCTCAGGGAGTCCCTCCAGTTCAGATTTCTACATGAGATGGGGGCAGGCAAGCCACTTTCTCTCAGCCTAATCTGCAATGCAGGGCTAATACTGGCCTACTTTACAGAGTTGCCGTACAGACCATAGTGAGCAAAGTCCTTTGGAATGCTAGAAGCATTCTATAAATGCTAAGTGTGTACAGGACGGCACACTCTTGGCTCTAGATTTTTTTTTAAAAAACCTAGTTTTCTGCCCTGACTTAAATGGTCCGGGCTAGCCTTATTTTGTCAGATCTTGAAAGCTAAGCAGGGCCAGCCTCCTTACTATTTAGATGGGAGACCACCAACCTGAAGCCTGGGGCGGCGGGAGTTTCTTTGCACGCAGCTTCTGCGGCTGGCTGAGTGCCTCTTCTGCTTGCCCACCTCTCGCCTCTGCACCTCATCTTCTGCCAGGCATGGAGGAGCCCAGCTCGCCCAGGCTTCTTGCCTCCTGCTGCCTTGGCCCTCTGTTGCACGGGTGAACTCGTGGGCACTCCATGAAATTGCTGAGCGGTCGGGTTAGAACGGATAAAAGGAAGTACTTCTTCACCCAAAGAGTGATTAACACTTGGAATTCACTGCCACAGGAAGTGGTGGCAGCTACAAGCATGGACGGCTTCAAAAGGGAATTAGATAAGCATATGGAGCAGAGGTCCATCAGTGGCTATTAGCC